CTAGCATTACAGATGTGAGCCACTGGTGCCCAGCTCCTTTGGAATTCTTATTGGAAAAAAATCACCTTCAAAAAATCATGCATGAAGCAATTGGGGAAACTTGAACATGTCCCATAGTAGGTGATACTGGAGCATATTTTGTGAAATATAATATTGGCCTTGTGGTTGAGTTTTTTTTTTTTTTTTTTTTTTTTGCAACACAGTCTTGCTATATAGTCCAGGCTGTCCTTGAACTTGCTCTCCTCTGCCCCTCGTCCTTAGTGCTGGGTGACAGGTGTGTACCACGCTCAGCCTTGTGCTTGACTTTGTTTGTTGCTGTTTTTCTATTTTTTTTTTCAGCAAAATACATGGTAACATAAAATTTACCATTTTAACTGTTTTTGTGTGTGTATGGGGGGGTGCTGGGAATTGAACCCAGGGCCTCCTGCATGCTAAGTATGTGCTCTATCACTGAGCTAAACTCCCAGCCCCCCAAAGGCATTTCCATATGTATGAAAATACAGTTAGACAAGAGGAACTAGTGAGCTCTGGTGTTCTATAGCACAAGGGGGAAACTACCATCTACAGCAAGCTATGATGTACTTCAAAATAACGAGAAGAGGGCTAGGAGCATGGTTCAAGTTGTAGTGTGCCTACCCGGCAAGTACAGGGTCTTAAGTTCAAATCCCAATACCACCAAAAAAAAAGCTAAATAATAAGAAAAGCCCCAAGGTTCCCAGCACACAGAAATGATGAGTGTTTGAGGAAAGGGAAACACCATTTGAACACTGCACATGGTGGACATGTGTTATCATATGGCCTCCTGTACATAGGTACAAACACTATTAACAATAGTGTGTTAATTAAAAATAAATTAAAGCAATGAATGCATGGAGATAATTAATTTCTTCCTCTCAGATTATTTTGTGGTTAAGTAAACCACCCAGTTTGAAGAGGCTGGCAGTGCTGGGGCTCCATAAATGTGCATTCATTCCTGACTCCTCAGTTCAGTCTGTTGGGAAATCTTTTTTTTTTTTTTTTTTTGTGGTACTGGGGTTTGAACTCAGGGTCTCAAGCTTCCTAGGCAGGCCATGAGACTCCAATTGAGTCACTCCATCAGCCCTGTTTGTTTTCTCTATTTTTGAGATAGGGTCTTGCTCACTATTTGCCTGGGCTGGCTTCTAACTGTGATCCTCTTAATCTCTGTCTCCCAGGTAGCTAGGATTACAGGCATGAGCCACTGGGCTATCTTCTTTAATAAACACTTTACAGTTTCCCTCTGTAATGGTCATAGTCACCACCTATTTATCTACCTTGGCTTTTTTGTAGAATTTTACTTTTTCATGTAATTCTTTCTCTTCCATATATAGAAGTTAGCATTAAATGTCAGTTTTTTTCCCTCAAAATCAAAATGCTCTTCTTGAGTAATTTCTTGTCTTAACTGTTATAAATTTGTCTCTGCCTAGAAACTAATGCAGATACTTTAAAGCGACAGAGGCCAATAGGAGAAGGGAACCAGGAACTAGAGAAAAGGTTAGATCAAGAAGAATTAACTTAGAAGGTAACACACACGCACAGGAAATCAATGCGAGTCAACTCCCTGTATAGCTATCCTTATCTCAACTAGCAAAAACCCTTGTTCCTTCCTATTATTGCTTATACTCTCTCTTCACAAAATTAGAGATAAGGGCAAAATAGTTTCTTCCCGGTATCGAAGGGGTTGGGGGGAGAGGGAGGCAGTGGGGGAAAAGGGGGAGAAATGACCCAAACATTGTATTCATATATGAATAAAAGAAAAAAAATAAATTTGTCTCTGCTTTCCTCTATTCTAATTTGATCTAGGACTTATAATGCAATGAGATTGCATGGTGTTCATTTAGTAAACAGCTATTTTTAAAAAAATTTTTGTAGTACTAGAGTTTGAACTCAAGACCTCACACTTGCTAGGCAGGTGCTCTACCACTTGAGCCAGGCCTCCAGCCCCTTTTTGCTCTGGTTATTTTGGAGATACAGTCTTCCTTTTTGCCCGACCAGCCTGGACTACCATCTTCCTATTCTTCCCACCATAGCTAGGATGATAGGCATGCACCAGCATACCCACCCTTTTTCTGTCGAGTTGGGGGTCTCATGAATTTTTTTGCCCAGGCTGGTCTCTCACCATGATCCTCCTGATCTCAGCCTCCCAAATAGCTAGGATTGCTGTTTGGGAAGTGTGAGCTACAGGCACCCAGCTGACAGCTTTTTTTTTTTTTTTTTCCTAATAGCTGTTTTTAAACACTTCTCCTATGCTATGCACTGGGCCCACTGCTGAGAATAAAATAAACATTTTAAATTTTTTATATCATTTTTGTTGCTTCTGTTTAATACTCTGAGCCATAGTGACATCTTCCTTTAATTCTTCATTCACTGGTATCTTTAGCCTTTTCTTTCATTTTCTCCTAGTTTATTTTCTGGTCTCTTTGTTGTTCACACTTATCCAAATATCCTTTGGATATTTCTCTTTTGACTCCACCTGATTGAATTGACATTTCTTTCCTAAAAATCTTTATGAAACTCATTTAGCATGAATGTCTTTCTGTGAAACAGAAGATATTTTAATTAAAAATCAAAGTGTGATTACCAATTTAAAAAAAAAAGCAATATTGAAAATTATGTATAGTAAGTATACACGAAGTTAAAGAAGCCTGGAAAAACACATACTTCACCACTTCACTGTTCACACTGGGACTGATGAGAGGAACTCTCTTTTTCTTTATGTACTTTGGCATTTTGGGGGTAGAAACCCTTCCCATTATAATCAGCAAGTTCTACTGTGTAACAGGAAAAAAATGAGAGGATGCTGCTGGCTCACATCTGTAATCCTAGCTACTCAGGAGGCAGAGATCGGGAGGGTTGAGGTTTGAAGACAGCCTGGGGAAATACTTTGCAAGACCCTATCTAAAAAAAAACACAAAAAAGTGCTGGTGGAGTGGCTCAAGTTGTAGGCTCTGAGTTTAAACCCCAGTATGACAAAAAAAAAAAAAAGAAAGAAAAGAAAAGAAAAAAGAGAGAGAGAGAGGACTAAGGATGTACCTCAGTGGTAGAGTGCTTGGTTAGCATGCTCCAGGCTCTGGGTTCATTCCCAGCTCCTAAAAGGAAAAACAAAAAGAGTAGGCGTATAGTACAATCTCTCTACTATATGAGATCCCTAGAATAGTGAAGATCACAGGGCTCTGGTGGCTCACGCCTGTGATCCTGGCTACTCAGGAGGCAGAGATCAGGAGGATTACGGTTCAAAGCTAGCCAGGGCAAATAGTTCACGAGACCCTATCTTGAAAATACCTCACACTAAAAGGGCTGGTGGAGTGGCTCAAGGTTTAGGCCCTGAGTTCAAGCTCTAGTACCGCAAAAAAAAAAAAAAAATCACAGAGACAGTAGAATGGTGTTTCTAGAGATAACCCCTGCAGAGTTCCATTTTTCTTTTCCCCAGGGCTGAGAATGGAACCTAGGGGCTCTTGTATGCTCAGCAAGTATTCTACCACTGAGCCACACTACAGCCAGGACAGTTGCAATCTGACAAGATGAGAATGATAGGGATGGATGGTGATGATGGTTATGTAGCATTGTGAAAGTATTTAACCACACTGAATGCACACAATGGGTTAAGATGGCAAGCCGGGTGCCAGTGGCTCACACCTATAATCCTACTACTCAGCAGGCAGAGATCAGGAGGTTCACAGTTTGAAGGCAGGCCTGAGCAAATAGTTCATGAGACCCCATCTTGAAAAAACCCAACACAAAAAAGGGGCTGGTGGAGTGGCTCAAGGGGTTAGCCCTGCGCTTAAACCACAGAACTGCAAAAAACAAACAAAAAGATGGCAAATCTTGGGCAGGTGGAGTGGCTTAAGTGGTAGAACTCCTGCCTAGCAAGCATGAGGCCCTGAGTTCAAACCCCAGCACAAAAAAAAAGGTAAGGAAAAAGGGTGTGCGTGTATGGCTCAAAGCAAGCATAAACCCTGAGTTCAAACCCTACCCGTACCACACACACACACAAATAGGCAAATCTCAGGCTGAGATGATCACAAAATATGTAGCTGACAGAGGAGAGGCATCCATGCTATATAAAGGATTCCTGCAGTTCAGTAATAATGAAACAACCCAAGCTGGGTGTGTTGGCTCACACTCATATTGCCAGTAGTCAGAAGGCTAAGGCAGGAAGGAAGAGCAAAGATCAAGGCCAGCCTGGGCTGCATCGTGCAAAAACAAGAACAAACAAACAAACAAAAACAAAAACCAAACCACGAAGTGCTCAGAGCCTTTGAACAAGAGTCTGGGTCCATTCTGTAGTACCTTAAAAACAGAACAAAATCTGCAGAGATACTGCACATTCACCAGAATGACTCAAATTCAAAAGTCTGACACATCACCTGATGTTGGTGAGGACATGGAGCAACTGGAATGCCTGCCCATTGCCTGTGGGTGTGCAATGGTCAGTCACTTAGGAAACAGGTGAGGAAGTTCCTGATGAAACTGAGCATACACCTATCTATGACCTAGCAATTCCATTCTTAGGTGTTCACCCAAGAGAGATGAAAAAACATGTCCCCAAAAGACTTGTAGAGAAAGTTAATCATGTTAATTAAAGTGGAAGCAGCCTAGGTTTCCATCAGCAGGCAAGTGACAAACAGATGTGGAGGACCCTGGCGGATGAATGTTGCAATATGAGTTGAGTGAAAAATATGACACAAGAGGTGGATACTGTACGATTCCCTTGTTATAAAGTGCTAGAGCAGGCAGAACTAGCTATGGTTATGGAACAAAAGAAACCCAAATCATGGCTGCCTTTGTGGTGGGGGCACTGGTTGGGAAGGGGTTCAAGGCAAGCCTGGAATGTGATGGAAACATCCCATTTCTTGGTGCGGGTTTCCATCACATGGCTGAAAGTTTTCTCAAAACTCCAGATTTCTATCCATGCGTCAAAATCCAAGTAATATACAATATCATTCAGAGTAAAGCCTCATGTCAACTCTGGAGCTTTGGTAATGTATCAGTATGGGCGCATCAGTTGTAACAAATGTAAGGCGGTAATGCAAGGTGTTAATTTAATAATGGGAGTAGGAGAAGGAAGTACGTGGAAACTCTTCATACTTTCTGCTCAATTTTTCTGTGAATCTAAAATGGTTCTGGGTGGGGATGTGGTTCAAGTGGTAGAGCACCTGCCTGGCAAGCACAAGGCTCTGAGTTCAACCCCCAGTACTGTCAAAAAATAAAATAAAAATAATTCTAAAAAGGAAACTCTATTTATTAAAAAACAAACCGCTGTTTAGTTTCTGAAATAAAGGTAAATGTGATGTAAAACAAAACTCTTTGAATGACATTCTTAAGATTCATGTTTTCTACTTTATGTAAATGTTCTCTAAGCAAACAAATATTGAACTCCATTAAGGGGTGAGGGAACTGATGTTTGAAACTTCCTTTGAAATGTGTTTAAAAAGATGGGTTGATGGACAGATAGATGAGAAGATAAGAGGAATGAGATAAGCAAGTAGTGTAAGAGGTTAATGGTAGACTCTTGGTGAGGCAGTAGGGGTCCGCTCTGGTTTTTTTTTTTTTTTTGCTGTACTGGAGCTTGAACTCGGGGCTTTCACCTTGAGTCACTCTACCATATTTTTGTGAAGAGTTTTTTGAGATAGGGTCTTGTGAACTATTTTCCCTGGCTGCCTTTGAACCTGGATCCTCCTGATCACTACCTCCTGAGTACTTAGGATTATAGGTATGAGCCACAGTGCCCAACTCCCTGGAC